GGTCCATTCACTATAAAACTACACGAGTATATCGCGTGATATTTGTACTCGATCCGTACATTATTTGTACTCTACTAAATGTAGTTGGATTATAGTACACATTATAATCCAACTGTGCTTCCTGGAGTACAAATAACACCCAGAACGAGTACAGATATCTCGCAGTATCTGTACTCCAGAGAACCAGTTAGACATTCGCCCGCACTGAAATAACAATTTCAAGTGGCGTGTTGGATAATAAATATCTTAATAATCGTTTTGTTGTGCCGTATTTTGACGAGTTCGTAGGGCGAGTCAAAGTACGGCACAACTCGTAAAATACATATATCTTATTAACCAAGCGCGAGGGCCGTACTGGGAGAATATCGGCCCGAGGTCTTGACAGTACGGACCTCGCTGCGCTCGGTCCGTACAAAAAAGACCGAGGGCCGATATTCTTCCAGTACGGTCCCGAGCAAGCTTGGTTAATAAGAGATTTATTATACGACTGAAATTCAAAGGGACACAAGTGCGGGATCATTCGGGATCATTCGGGATCATTCGGGACCATTCGGGACAGCCCGGTCCAATACTGAGAGAATATTGACCGGCAATAGAACATTTTGATTGGTTCATTTTAGTTATTGGCCCTCTGACTGCCTGAGTCGTGCAATAATAATAGTTATGATATCTTAAAGGGCTAGCTCAAGAACCTCCCTTTCCTCCCTCGGTCTATCCTAGAACTAGACCTCTTTAAATTTTGTCTGTTAACTATGAATTATTTTCTTAATTCATCGCAGTTCCATTTTTGTGAGACTTTTGTTTCACAGTACAAGGTGTTCCGCGTTGTAAGATGTTTCGTCATTCCGCCATTCCACTATTCCATCATTTCATCGAATAGGATCACCCGTTAAACTCGCGGCCTTAAAATCACTCCGCAAATTTAGTGGCCCTTTTGAGCATTCGTCGCTGCAAAATTCTCTCTTTTCTGACGCTCTGCCGGACTGGTGCAAGCAACATGCCAATCGATACGCTAAAATGTTTTTTTTTTTCTTTCTCTTAAAAAAAAGATAGCTCAAAAATTACTTCAAAGATTGCTCTTAGTTTTACTTGAGTGGTTCCGCTTTCGAAGACCATTCAGTACAGGTGGAGGACAGTAAAAAACAAGCCGTTAGAACTTGGTAAAGGGTGACCACGAACGCTAAATAGAGGTGATTGCTTAATGGGGGTAAAATTACAGTGATTAAGGGGAACTAAATTCGGGACTTCGACGAGTGACAGGTTATCACAGAATGACCGCTTATTAATGACCGCTTATTACAGGGTTCGACTGTAATCGAGTTATGTTGCGCAGAGGGGAGCTATATTTCGCCAAATTCTTAACATGAAGGACACCAAGCCATTCCCGCAAAAATTGCATGGTGAAAACCGTAAACTGTTCCTATCACACTAAGGTAAGTCATATGTACACATGTGAGTTAACTTATCAGGCCCTAATTAACGCCGACAAAAGGCATAAGTTGATTATTACGAATTAAACATTGTTTGTTTCAGCATTTAACTTTGATATGCAATGGTGTTTTTTTTTATTTTTCTTGCTTAGAATTCGCTTCAACACAGTATTTTTTCTTCTAAAATGTTTGAAATGTCGCGACTTGTGAGAAGTAGAGCTTTGTTATTTTCGATGCGCGCCAAAAGTCGCCTCTGTCATACAGTGTCTGTCTTGATTATTTGCCGGCAATGTATTAAATGTCATTTAATTTTTTTACGCAGGAGAATGTGACTGGTGGGGTAAAGAAAATTTACTCGGTGGACTCATAACAGACTTAGGGAAGACAAGATATATTTATACAATACTTGGAAAAGCGCATGATGTTGGAAATCGGCTTTGATCAAGGGTGGCGACTGAGAATTTACCACACACGGTGTCACTATTTCGAGCTTCAATTTATTCGCTTACAATAAAATGGTTTGAAAATATTCATAGGATATGTAACTGAAATTTGTGTTGAATGTGGAAAAGGTAAGCATAGCTTTCTGTTCGAAGTGAAGGTCAACAAGAAAAACTTACATGCCTGTATATCTCGCTGGAAGTCTTCGTTTTGACAGTTCTGAGGTTTTGCAGGGTTTGACAAGCAGTCCTCGCAGGTTATTTTTCTCTAATATTTCACTTTCCGGTAGCTTGTGGAGGCTTACACCTTTTCCTTTTGAATTTTAGTATGTATTTTGACCTTCAACCACACGACAGTTCACCTCATTTCAACTATGAGGAGTATTAGAAATTGTTTTCACAAAGGTCAACAAGGACAAAGCGCCGAACAAAGTTTGACTATTGCTACGTCACAACTGACGTAATATCCAAGATGTCGTTTTTCTAATCACGAAAGTTGTAAAAATGGGCAACTTCAAAGCGCTCTTGTCGCTAATACAAAGCAAAATGGACAAAATGGCAGTTATTTTCGAACTCCTGAGGAAAAAGTCTCTAATTGAGATAAACATTTTCTAGACCGTACTTTCCCTTTAATTTTGTAACCATGAGGAAGCTAAAATCCACAGAAATCACAGAAATCGATTGCCTTATAGGCCTTTCCCG